AAAATTCGTTACAGAATCTGGCGCGGGCCGCAATCCTCCCAAAGTCTGGTTCGGTTGCCTCACTGACCAGACTTCCTTACCCTCTTCTCGCACAATTAGGGAACCAAAGATACTCGCCGACCACAGCTAGATAAGCTTGCAGCTCGTGCATTCTCCCTGGACCAAAAATCGGCTGCCCTTAGCAGCCGCCCATCTTCTAGAAGGAATCACGCTCTCGCTCTCTGCTCTCACCCCATGGGGAGGTAGAGCGCACTATTCTGCAGCGAGATTTATGCGTTTGCCGAGCTATTCCTGGTCCGAATCTCCCTGATTGGCATTCAGCCAAACGGAGCCAGTCTTTCCTAAATAAACTTCCCATCAGGGAAGTTTCAGCCACAGCCTGCAGCAATTCAAATGCGCGACCAGCGGCGTCCTCTGCGTCTCTGCTGCCATTCTCCACCGCCCGTGTGGTATTGATGTAGCGGGCAGTTGCACGTCCCGCACTCCCAAGTCAACAGTTCATTCGTTTTCTCGTGGGTGTTTCAGCCTCGTCTATCTTAGTTGTGCTATTCTTTCCCTTATCTGATCATAGCGGTGGCTGCTGGACTTTTACGAGCAGCAGTTAATATCGTTGTGGAACACTTGCATCATGTAACTGTGAGCTGAAAAACCGTTTCTTGTTCATTCTTCCCATGTGTTCTCATCCTACTTCTCTCTCTCTTCTGACCAGTCTGACATCTTCAGTTTCCGTGGCTTTTTGGGCATCTGTGCCGTAAATTGTGGGAGATTTGTTTGCTTTCGTTACGAATGAGGGGTTCTTGAAAAGATGTTGCCGCCGATATTCAGAGGGTGAGATTCCTATATCGTGTTGATTCATTCGTACGGAGTTCTTACAAATGGTGACAGTGGCATACAACCGGGTATTCCATTAAACCGCACGATGTATTCCCATTTTCGAAGTGTTGATTAGACCGGGAAGGCATTTACCACTCGTATCTTTTAGTATTTGTGCCTAGTCTGACCTGCCTTCAAAGGTTTCGAGTTGAGTAATTGAATTGGTTGCCTGAAGCAAGTATAATTCGTAAGCTTTATTCCCATACAAAATTTATCAGCATGTGAAGGGGCGTTATTTCAAAAAGACTATTTCAATGGGAGTGGTTTCTATGTCAACAACATTGGCAGATTTGGCAATCTGCCTAGTCTGCGTTGTGGATTAGTGCATACGAAGGCACCCACAAGGACTGTTAGATCGTTCATCGATTCACATCCTTGCTTACTTTGTTCATGCGAGTTCGCCGACTCTTCAGTGGCACAGCAGGCTGTGAGAGCTGTGTAAAACACTTGGTGTTTCCTGATTTAAGAGGAAACTACTTTGAAGAAAAAAACTTCAAAGCCTAATCTGAAAGGTTAATCTAATGTCATCTATATGGAATGATTCTGAATTAGTAACGGAGAGGTCTTCTTAGTTCTATCACAGCTTCCACCCATCGTCTTGAGGCGCCAGACGACGGAGACGTTGCGCTTTCGCTGAATAGGCGATTTCGACAGCTCAAGGAAAAGTTAGCATACCATACGACAAGATAACCATCTTTGTCTTTTAGTCACCTGCACAGTTTCCTGGAGGTATGCACATGTAGTTCCCAATGGGCCACTTCGCATCCACCCTCACTTGCCGGGGTAATTTGGCTTACATGGCCGGCTGATGACCTTTTGCCGAACTAGGCTCATTTGAAAAAATATTGGTTCAATGAGTAAAAAAAATTCGTTACCTTTCAAGAGCGAGAGAAGCTTAGACGAAATCAAAGAACTAGTGACATTTCTGTGAGGTGACATGAAAGTTGTGATTGGTAACAATCAAAGCCATAATAGGTGGAGGAGAAATTTGTTGCACAATGAAAAAATTTTACCTCACTCCCAACTGCAGGCAAAGTAGTCAAAAAGGGTGACCTTTCGCACGTTGTACAATACAATGCAAGTGATATGAAAATGTAGTTGTTGGGAGGACATCCCTCGTTCCTGCCATTAAGCGCTAGTGCGGAGAGCTAGCTACTCCTAAATGGTGGCTTACTAAAGTTCTTTGCCAAAAAAGATATTTCTCCACCCAAACCCCAAGAGGGATGTTATTTCTTGCTTGCTCATGTCACCGATCCGATGGTCCTTCCCTCCTAGAGCTTATATAGAAACCATTCTCCACTAATTAAGAACCGACTTTGAGCACGGGTGAAGTGGGCTACTTCTCTGCACTCTAACGCCACTCAATGATGAAGATGATTAGTGCTTCCCAGGTCTCAATCTCCATTTTCACTGGCAATGATGTCCAGATATGACAGCTGCAAGGCTATCTAGCGTTTGAAGCATATGTTACGGTGGCTTGGTATTGATTTTTGCGTTTTGTTTCGATGATTTAAAATGTACAATTGTATAAATAGTAGTGAAGCTTTTTATTCGTGCAATCGGTATTAGTTCAGTTGAGTCTAGCTGACAGCTCAGCATTCAGCCGATTAAGTGAGGGCACCTCATGGGCGATGTACGAAGTAACCTATGTTGGAACTAAATCACCTCTTCCGTTCGAAGGTTTCGCAAAGCTCAACACTGCAGCCGTTCGTCCCAAAGCTTAGTCTTATCATGGGCTGCCTATATGTCATTGTGTGCTGTTAGGTGAAAATGAAAAGTCGAAAACATCAACAAGGGCTGTTTTGGCGCAAGTGCTCATGGGCAAAACAACAGCAGCAGGCACGATCGTTGACACTTAAGATCGCATCATCGTCATTGCGTTCGTCTCATTCATTGTTTCTTCTCCGCGCAGAAGAATGTGGAAACATGATCAACGTTCATGGATCGTCTAATGGATTGCGATGTTAAAATGTTGAATAAACAAGGGTCTCTTGTTGACTTGTCTGGAAGCACTTGACTCCTAGACGAGGTAGTTGAAGGTATCGATTTTGCACAGAACGCTCGTCTTATGTCTCCCGTGAGAAAGGTTTACCTCGATTCGGGAAAATCCTATAGTCTGCGGTCTAATGGTAATCCAATAGAAAAGGCAAACTCTCTTCAGGTAAGCGCTTGCGGCAGCATGTTTTTTCTGCTTTGGCCCACGAGTTTGAGCACCATCAGTCTGTTTTAGTGAATATAACACCATACACTTCAGCTGTTGCGGCTGAGTTCCTGTTTTGGTTTGAAAACGAATTGACTCTGCGACATTTTGGTCTTCCAGCGTTATTTACGCCATAGGTAATTTCTTCGTGATTTTTAACTCAGTTTTCGCTGCCACCCGTTTTCTGCTTATCATTCGCAGCTTTCCTTTTGTAATTATTCGTTTTTCCTATTTTTACTCCTTACTTTAGACCTATCCTTGATCATAGGAACGAAAATCCAACGTGGTTCCCTGTTCTTACAATGGGTTTGTGATTTAATGTAATGCAATGTGCGTGAAGAATCACGGACAGCATCTTTCATTCGACGGTATAACCTTATTTGAATGTGGACACCTTAGGGCCATCACACATACGGCGCATGGGAAAAAGGCCTTAGGAAGGGAGACGGGTTGGGGTTGAAAGTGTTTGCCTGGCTTGTTGCATCGAAAGAAGCTGATCCGTGACCCATAGTCGGGTGACTATAGGGGGTGAGTTTCCCCACAGAATTTCCATTCTAATCCCTACGCAGTAGTTTCTTCTCGCTTTGGTTTTCCATGAATTTAACGTCATAGTGGTGCTTCTACTTGGACTATACTCATTGGCTTTAATTTCCAACATCCCTAACTTTCATACATTGATTTTCTTGTCTGCTTTTATCACAAATTGATACTGCCTACCACAGATCGTTTAATGTCTTTCTTTTCCAATCTATACTCTGTACTATGAGTTTCTTTCAAAGCAAATGAACTGTGCTTACTTTTTTCCTAACTCGAGCGCTATGTCATGTGACATTTCTCTTCTCGCCTTTGTCTTTCCACTCTGCTCTCTTCTTCTGGTATATTTTCCGCTGACTTTGTCGACGTAACACACTGTTACTCATCTCCCCTTCGTCTCTATACCGACAGTGGTTTTCTTGTTACTCTGCTGCTCTGCTATCTCATCATGTATTTCTGTTCATATGCTCTCAAGCAGTTTTTCTGATTTTGGCATTAATTCGACTGTCTTAACTGCACGGTTTTCGAGCGAAGGATGTTCTTTAGCTCTAGCATTTCTTCATGAACCTGCACTTCTGATGCGAACGAAATATTCATTTTGGAATGTTGTAGAAAGAGGTGTGTGACATACGTCACGTACAAATCCGTATGATGCGCTCCTGTGCCCCCAAGCTACAATAAGCCCGAACTTGCGGCTCATCATTGTTGTTTGTAACTGCATATTGTTATTTGGTGAAAGGAATAGCCTAATTTCGAGAGTGACGGGCTTTGACGTGACGATACTACTGCGTAATGGGGTTGCGGCGTTCCGGTACATTACATCTTAGAGCAGAAAATCACCTTGACACGCTAGCAGCCTATTCTAATCACATTTTCTAGTTCTCTGAGTAGCGGTATCCGTATACTTTTTCACCTTGCGTTGCGGATAACACCCAATTAGGTGGTGAGTGAGACAATCTAGTAAGTGAAGAATTAGGTTATTGGGATGGATGAGAAGACCGTTTGGCGATGGTTCGCAGAAGCATGTGACTTCGGCTTGTCATAGGTTACAAGCGTTGCAATGGTGAAATGGATTGATTAGCAGTTGTCTCAGTTTTGGTTTTTCTTGCTGACGCTATTCTCATTGCTGTAATTAACATCTCTCAGGTTATCCCTATCGTATCACCGCACCTGTCCTTTGGATTTGTTTTTCCTCTATAAATCCAAGTGGAATGCTGTTAGGAAGGTTCATTCTAATTCTTATCGGTGGTGGTGCTTTTACACTTTATACCTGGTAAATCGTCGTAGTAGGTTGATGAATTTGCTGACTTGTATTCTCAGTAATTGTTTTCGTCTCTGTGCGCCTATTCGTTTTCATATCGACATATTTTTATCACGTACCAATCGTTGCAGAATGGCCCCTCCTACTTTTGCTGACCTCGGAAAATCTGCGAAGGATCTATTCAACAAAGGATACAGTGCGTTGTGAAGATTCTTGAGTAGTTGAATGTACTTGATGTTAATTCGAATAATTGCAGATCATGGTTTTATCAAAGTCGATACGACCACGAAAGCTGGTGAAAATAAAGAGGTAGAATTCAAAACATCTGCTGCTCATAATCTCGGCTCCGGCAAACTTGGAGGAAACCTTGATGTCAAATACAAAATCCCTTCCTACGGTTAGTCGCTTTCCTTCTTACCTATTTTCAGCAATCATCGTGAGGTTCTTAATTAACTTTTTTTATGGACTTATTTCCCACTTATTGCATTACTTAGTGTAAGGCAGTTTTTAAAAAATGGTAGCAGAAATGAGTATAGTGTGTGAGCAGTTAGCAACATGGGTTTGTACATTTATTCTCTGTAAACATTTTTTGCTGAAGAATAACTAAGGGTGCATGGAATAGGTAACTATGCAATTCACGTATGTGGCGATATATGATGGAGATGGTAATACCCAAATCCGACGAAGTTGTTCTGATTAGAGCGATTTACGAAGGAAGCAGCATGCGCTGCCAGGAAGGAGGTGCAGAAGGCGATTTTCCTCATCTGCGATCTGTGCGCTGAGCCAATCCATGGTCGTTATAGAAGGGGTATCAAGAGGTTGATGTAGATGATATGCTCCGAATATATTGCTAGAGATGTCCCACTGAAGAGTAGCACCACTGCCTAGTATAACATTTCAATGACTGCTTTAAAGCACTGTCAATTGAAGAAGATCCCAATTCCCTCACTCCTTTTCTCTTTTCATGCCGATCGTCACTGACTAGTGTGGTTCATGCAGTGATGACCGGTATGAAGAGAGAAAAGGAGTGAGGGAATTGGGGTCATCTTTGATTGACAGTGCTTTAAACCAGTCATTGAAATGCTACATCAGGCAGTAGTGTTACTTGACGTGGCTAGCCACATTGGGTTTAATCATTAGCAAAGTCTGAAACATTGAACAAAAATCTGAAATAATCGAATCGTCCTATTCTATGATTAGACCCTCAGTAGTGAATACTATGTAACTCTTGCATTGAAAAACATCTTTTCGGTTCATTCTGCTAAGAGCAGCAATTACAAATCTGACTATCTAGTTTCATACTACTTTTCAGTTTTAGGCTTCTCAGTTAATCGAGTGTCACAGAAATCCGGGGAAAAGAACTATGGGGTTCACGTTGTTGTTTTAGGTTGATAGCGATATGCCTTTATGAACCGCTGAGTACTTTGTGCCCTGGAGAGGGAATCCATACTGAGAAATAAGTCCTGTTCGAGTAGAAACACCACTAATTTCGATACACTTTTGCGGCTTAAATTGGTGTTATATATGTGATTTTGAGGTCTGACTCTTACGGAGAAATGGAACACTGAGAACCAACTCGGAACAATAATTGAAGTTAATGAGCAGTTTGGTCGAGGACTCAAACTCACTTTCGATTCTCTTTATGCTCCTCACGCTGGAAAGAGGACCGGCAAACTGAAGGCTGATTGGTCTCTCAACACTGCCAGAGTGAGTACTGTTCTTACTTCTCACTTTTAATTCTGAAGCATTTTCATTAAACTATTGTCTGATCTGCAGATCACTGGTGAAGTTGGCATCACCGCCGCTCCAGTTATCAATGCTGCAGGTGTTTTCGGTCGCGATGGATGGCTCTTCGGTGCTTCGGCCACATTCGATACCTCTTCAAACAAGGTGCTTCAAATAATAATCTCTTCATCTCGAAATTTTGTCGTAAACCAGGAAGAAAACTTAATTTAGGTGTCAACGACCGCATTGGCCTTCGGGCATCAAACCTCTCACTACACTCTCCACTCATTTGTTGTGAATTCAACCGACTTTGGTGCTTCACTCTTCCACAGAGTCAGCCCCAACGTTGAGCTTGGTACTATGCTTGGCTGGAAGGTAGTGAATTGTAGTTTTGTTCCATGTAAATCTTATTGGATTCATATACTTTTGTTCGAAATGAAATCCTTTCAGGTTGGGGGTAATGGTGCTGATTTCGCTGTTGCTGCAAAATATAGTCCTACCAGAGATCTGACGCTTCGTGGTAAAGTTAACAATAGCAGCCAGGTAAGACGACATATCAATTGCTTGATGGTTGACATTAGGCAATGCTCAAATTCACTATATTTGTTCAATGCACTTGATGGCCATGTTTAGGTGGCATTGGCTGTCACACATTCGCTCTCGCCTGACCTCAAAGCTACGCTGTCGAGTCAGTTCAATCTTTCCTCGAGTGATGTTCATAAGTTCGGAATGGGTCTTGAATATGAGCCACTGTAATATCTTTGTGTGTTGACCGATCATTTTCATTAGATCTAGATTTTTTATAGTCTAGTGCAATGATAGTCTGTTGGTCCCTTTGAAGTTGTTTCTTGTCAAACCTATTAAAGTTGCGTAATGAATATTTATGTACTGGTTATAGGAGCTGATTTTGTATGTTTAGTAAATGTAACGTGTGCTCGAGCCGTGCGTGTGGTATTTTGCTAACCTTATGATTAATGCATAACAACAAGCATGCTGTGCTTTTAGTGGTTATTGTCTAGACGTATCAGAAGGAGTTAGGTAATGGTTACATTCGCCCAATTTTGTATGGACGAGGCAAATTACGCCGTGAAATTCGTGGAGAATTGAACGAATGTCATTGGGACACAGGTTTTGAGTAGAATGGATAAGTAGGTCCAGCTGAAACTACTTATCTTACTACTTCAAAATTGTGCACCAATGATAGGTGCCGGCGTCGTTTAAATCACCACGAATTTCGCCGCGCAGTTTGCTGCCTCCATCCAGAAATTCCCCCGGGTAGTTGTAGTAGTTCTAGCTAGAGAATCACTTCTTTTGCGACTCAGGGTGTGTAGGTCATTTCAGCGGATTGTCTTCTTCTAACCATAAGCTGCTATTTGTTTGCTACTACTCCTGTTCTCCTTAGTAATGTAGCGTTTCAAATAATTGAGTTGTGAACGTAAGTGAAGGTCTGTTCAATGGTAGGTGTCATTACTTAAATGTTCTTGATCACCTGATAACGACGATGGACCGATTGCGTTCTCACCTTGTGGGAGGTAGTTCTAATGATATTTGAATGTACTCTGAGCGATAGGGAATGGAAAACTACGTGCTGTCAAAGATTCATTAGCCGTTCGAGTGAGCCAATTCTTGCTAGCCGTACCTTAGTGAAAGTAGTGCTGAACGCGATCGATATTGTAAACAACTTTAATAGCTATTCCTTTATTTCCTTCACCATTGCACTCAATAGATGGGCGTCGAAATGGACGGGAAGATGGCGCTGTCGCAACGATAACAAGATGCATCAACTGAGGGCACGCGTGGCTAAGGTACTGGAAGGTTAGCTGTGACTGGGCAACTGGGCCGTTGAGATGACAAAACGTTGGAAAAATCCCATTAGACTAAATGGTACTAATCCAGAAGGCCATCCAGCCGAAATGCACCGGCCGTTATCTTGGAAGAGGAAACGGTTCGGAATTAGTAGGCTGTTGCACTTTCACTGCAAAACAGAGATCTCGAAAATGGCACAGGATTCGAGGGAAACTACGAAACGGAACCCGCCTCCAAATGGGATAGAAGCTGGAGAAAAAGAAGAAGAATTGGGAAGGGTGGAGGGAAGTGTCGAGTTCCTCAGGACTTCAATGTGAGAGGAGCACCTTGATGAGATTTTGAATGAAGCGAAATCAAATAGGGATATAATATTTAGTTGAACCATCGAATTGCACTGAGGTTGGCAGGTGGTGATCGTTAAGATGTTGTTGGAATAAAGAACATTGGAAAAGTTACTGANAGATAGGATACGAGTTAGGAAATGAAATCTTCTGGGTGGCTCTCCCTTCCTTGAACGCGTAAATAGTTTATTGTATGGAAGGAAAATGCCGAATGCATGAAAGAAGACTACTTTTTACCACTATTCTAATCTCTATTAAAGGAGTGTTTGTTGAGGTTTCTAGCTATTCGAGGATCAAGTCACACAAACCTACATCTTGTGGCTCAAAAATGAGGAAAGTTCTCCTTACCTAATAAAAACACTTCAGCTTCTTCTCTGAAAGTCTGCAACCGATTATGCATAGCTGAACATGTCGTGTAGAAGTATCGGGGGAGACCCTACTGCAAACTGTGAGACAAAAATAATGGACATTTCAATACATACTTACTGCCCATATCCAAAAAAAGTTCAAAGAAGCGCTTACAATGGCTTGAAATGACGCTCGGACAATCTCAAAGGAATGCATCGAATTCGGAAATTAAAGCGACGACAGGAAGCTTTCAAGGAAGAAAAGAATGCTATCAAATGAAACTCTTGGTTGAAGGTGCCTTTTGTAAGTGCATGGAGAGCATGGCGTCTGATGAGAGCAGCAGACACTGAGACGAGACGAGAAACTTGTTCGAGGTCCGCACAAAGTACTTGATTTTCCGAAACGACCACAGTAATAGGTGTTGCAGCAATAGTGCGGTCATTAGAACCGCCAAAAGTTTTAGGCTCGTACAGAAATGTTTTGGAATAATGTTTCTTATGAATTCTCTCACAGTTAAAGGCACAAGCGATAAAAAGGTTTCTGAGATTTCCTCATAGTATGAATTCGAGGCTTCACCTTATATCATACTTGCCCTTATAAAATCGAACAACCTATTAGATGGGGCACAATAAGGGGTAAGAGATTGTATCGTGTGAATGCCACACCCATAGTGAACAAGTTTCACTGGCTTTGCAGAGGCTGCACCATCTCGAGAGACTCCCATGTAGGAGGTTCAAACAACTTCCCATCCCCCTTGGCGACTATGAAAATGTCGGCTCGGTGTAGCCATCTCTTTGCGCAATGGGAGCAAGTTAATTCTTGTCCAAAAACCCATTACATGCCATTCCTGTCGCGGTGATCTCGTACAACCTCAACTTCCCCTACTCCTGAGAAGCTTGAAGTAGGCGGATTCCCTCGCTTTCTTCGCCGCCGATGTACTCCTTTGCATCAACACTTCCGTTTTTCAACCTGAAAAGGGTACCTCGGAATTATCGTGAACTATGCTTTTAAGAGTAAAAATGTTATCAATATTGTCACAGACGTGACTAGAGGAAGCATGAGAGCATTACTCAATAGTAAGTATTTACTTACCTTGTTTATGTTATTTGTCCCTCATGCTCTAATTTAGTTTAGCGACTTCTACGCTTAAGATGCTCTGCTGCGCGCTCAATGTGTGATCTCCCATGATCTATCGA